AACTGAAATTTTCCCAATGGTCCCCTTCATCAAATTTCGGCCAAATTTTGACATTTTCGAAACTTAACTGAATACATTTTCTGATAGATTTCGAGCTCTAGAACTCACTTCCGGCCTCGATTCTTTGATAACTGGAACCGTTTTTCCAGAATCGTCCGTTGAAATATAGAAATTTTTAGAAATTCTCAAAAATTCGCATTTCGTATCGATTCTTTCTAAAATGTTGCTCCCTGACCATTAACACCCTATATTTTTGAAATAAGCGTGTCGAGATCTACCTCCCTGAATTTTTTCAGAATTTTTAGACGACTGTTTTAACAATGAAATTTTCCCAATGGTCCCCCCTTCTTCAAATTTCGGCCAAATTTTGACATTTTCGAAACTTAACTGAATACATTTTCTGGTAGATTTCGAGCTCTAGAACTCACTTCCGGCCTCGATTCGTTGATAACTGCAACCGTTTTTCCGGAATCGTCCGTTGAAATATCGAAATTTTTAGAAAATCTCAAAAATTTGCATTTCGTATCGATTCTTTCTAAAATGTTGCTCCCTGACCATCCACACCCTATATTTTTGAAATCAGCGTGTCGAGATCTACGTCCCTGAATTTTTTCAGAATTTTTAGACGACTGTTTTAAAAATGAAATTTTCCCAATGGTCCCCCCTTCTTCAAATTTCGGCCAAATTTTGACATTTTCGAAACTTAACTGAATACATTTTCAGGTAGATTTCGAGCTCTAGATCTCACTTCCGGCCTCGATTCTTTGATAACTGCAAGCGTTTTTCCGGAATCGTCCGTTGAAATATCGAAATTATTAGAAACTCTCAACAATTCGCTTTTCGTATCGATTCTTTCAAAAATGTTGCTCCGTGACCATCGGCACCCTATATTTTTGTAATCAGCAAGTCGAGATCTACGTCCTTGAATTTTTTCAGAATTTTTAGACGACTTTTTTAAAACTGAAATTTTTCCTATGGTCCCCCCTTCTTCAAATTTCGGCCAATTTTTGACATTTTCGAAACTTAGCTGAATACATTTTCTGGTAGATTTCGAGCTCTAGAACTCACTTCCGGCCTCGATTCTTTGATAACTGCAACCGTTTTTCCGGAATCGTCCGTTGAAATATCGAAATTTTTAGAAATTCCCAAAAATTCGCATTTCGTATCGATTCTTTCGAAAATGTTGCTCCCTGACCATCGGCACCCTATATTTTTGTAATCAGCAAGTCGAGATCTACGTCCTTGAATTTTTTCAGAATTTTTAGACGACTTTTTTAAAACTGAAAATTTTCCAATGGTCCCCCCTTCTTCAAATTTCGGCCAAATTTTGACATTTTCGAAACTCAACTGAATACATTTTCTGGTAGATTTCGAGCTCTAGAACTCACTTCCGGCCTCGATTCTTTGATAACTGTAACCGTTTTCCGGAATCGTCCGTTGAAATATCGAAATTTTTAGAAATTCCCAAAAATTCGACTTTACTATCGATTCTTTCGAAAATGTTGCTCTCTGACCATCCACACCCTATATTTTTGTAATCAGCGTGTCGAGATCTACGTCCCTGAATTTTTTCAGAATTTTAAGACGCCTTTTTTAAAACTGAAATTTTTCCAATGGTCCCCCCCTTCTTCAAATTTCGGCCAAATTTTTACATTTTCGAAACTTAACTGAATACATTTTCTGATAGATTTCGAGCTCTAGAACTCACTTCCGGCCTCGATTCTTTGATAACTGGAACCGTTTTTCCAGAATCGTCCGTTGAAATATAGAAATTTTTAGAAATTCTCAAAAATTCGCATTTCGTATCGATTCTTTCTAAAATGTTGCTCCCTGACCATTAACACCCTATATTTTTGAAATAAGCGTGTCGAGATCTACCTCCCTGAATTTTTTCAGAATTTTTAGACGACTGTTTTAACAATGAAATTTTCCCAATGGTCCCCCCTTCTTCAAATTTCGGCCAAATTTTGACATTTTCGAAACTTAACTGAATACATTTTCTGGTAGATTTCGAGCTCTAGAACTCACTTCCGGCCTCGATTCTTTGATAACTGCAACCGTTTTTCCGGAATCGTCCATTCAAAAATCGAAATTTTTAGAAATTCTCAAAAATTCGCATTTCGAATCGATTCTTTCGAAAATGTTGCTCCCTGACCATCCACACCCTATATTTTGGAAATCAGCGTGTCGAGATCTACGTCCCTGAATTTTTTTAGAATTTTTAGACGACTTTTTTAAAACTGAAATTTTTCCAATGGTCCCCCCCTTCTTCAAATTTCGGCCAAATTTTGACATTTTCGAAACTTAACTGAATACATTTTCTGGTAGATTTCGAGCTCTAGAACTCACTTCCGGCCTCGATTCTTTGATAACTGCAACCGTTTTTCCGGAATCGTCCGTTGAAATATCGAAATTTTTAGAAATTCTCGAAAATTCGCATTTCGTATCGATTCTTTCTAAAATGTTGCTCTCTGACCATCCACACCCTATATTTTTGAAATCAGCGTGACGAGATCTACGTCCATTAATTTTTTCAGAATTTTAAGACGACTTTTTTAAAACTGAAATTTTTCCAATGGTCCCCCCTTCTTCAAATTTCGGCCAAATTTTGACATTTTCGAAAGTTAACTGAATACATTTTCTGGTAGTTTTCGAGCTCTAGAACTCACTTCCCGCCTCGACTCTTTGATAATTGCAACCGTTTTTCCGGAATCGTCCGTTGAAATATCGAAATTTTTAGAAATTCTCAAAAATTCGCATTTCGTATCGATTCTTTCTAAAATGTTGCTCCCTGACCATCCACACCCTATATTTTTGAAATCAGCGTGTCGAGATCTACGTCCCTGAATTTTTTCAGAATTTTAAGACGACTTTTTTAAAACTGAAATTTTTCCAATGGTCCCCCCTTCTTCAAATTTCGGCCAAATTTTGACATTTTCGAAACTTAACTGAATACATTTTCTGGTAGATTTCGCGCTCTAGAACTCACTTCCGGGATCGATTCTTTGATAACTGCAACCGTTTTTCCGGAATCGTCCGTTGAAATATCGAAATTTTTAGAAATTCTCAAAAATTCGCATTTCGTATCGATTCTTTCTAAAATGTTGCTCCCTGACCATCCACACCCTATATTTTTGAAATCAGCGTGTCGAGATCTACGTCCCTGAATTTTTTCAGAATTTTTAGACGACTTCTTTAAAACTGAAATTTTTCCAATGGTCCCCCCTTCTTCAAATTTCGGCCAAATTTTGCCATTTTCGAAACTTAACTAAATACATTTTCTGGTAGATTTCAAGCTCTAGAACTCACTTCCGGGATCGATTCTTTGATAACTGCAACCGTTTTTCCGGAATCGTCCGTTGAAATATCGAAATTTTTAGAAATTCTCAAAAATTCGCATTTCGCATCGTTTCTTTCGTAAATGATGCTACGTGACCATCGACACCCTATATTTTTGTAATCAGCGTGTCGAGATCTACGTTCCTGAATTTTTTCAGAATTTTTAGACAACTTTTTTAAAAGTGAAACTACGTCATATTAAAACTTTCTCGCTTGAAGTTTCTAGGGTTATGGTTAATATTACGGATATAAGGATTATAATTACCAACATCCGAAAATTAAAGTGTAAAGACAGGTTAAAAAATCTTATATCTTTTTAAATATAGGTATTTACTTATACTCATTTACGTAAAGGAACAATATAAAAATAAAATCACATTCAGAGAGAAATTCAACGGATCATAATCGCATATAAACGGGAAGTTTAGGGATAATCGTGTCCTCTTGGTGGTGCTGAAGTCAGCAGTCCTGAGTATTGTAAAAAAAAACCCTCGGCGGAGACGATTTTCATGCTCAACTGGTTAAGTCGATATTGTTGGTTGCCTATACAAAAATTTGTATTTTGTTATACATACATATGTATAAAATTAAAGCACAAATCGTACGAGGCCTTGTATAATCCATTTAAAAAATTCATAAAATTTGATTTTATGATGTTTTTTTGTGATTGGACACAGTTTTATAATTATACGAAAATTTCCAAGATTGATTGTATTTATTGACGTCATTCGATGAATTCTTTTTTTTTTATAAAAAAAACCGAAAACAAACTCGCCTCATTAAAATTTAAACTTCCCGCCGCCCCATTTTGACATTTGTGCACAAGCCGCCTTTATAGGTTAGATCCAGTGCCCCCTTATTCCCCAAAATAACTCTGCACTTTTATGACTTCCTCCGAAATCCACGCTTCCGGTCGCTAACCAGCCCTTCCGTCTTCTCACTCCGCTCCAGTCATGGAACTAACAGAAGAACCCCCAACCGAAAAACAGTCCCAAACCGTGAAAAAGTACCGGGACAAGCGGAAAATCGACGCCAGCATCAAAAAGGAACAGAGTCGCCGAATCGAGCGAATACGAAAACTGAAAGTGAGCTGTATGGCAGAAAACCAGCTCTCCAGCTATCGAGCGGCAGCCAGAGACCGAAGACTCCGAAACAAGAAAATGAAAAAAGCGAAACCCGGCGCGGACAAGTCGAAATATCGGACGCACTACGTTAAGAAAACCGTCAAAAACACGTACAAGACTCTGCCGCGGTCCCCCGCGGAACGGGCGGAAGTGCTGTCGAAGCTCGCCGAACAGGCGCTCCTGAAGCTGCAGGCGCAGAAGGCGAACTTGCAGCGGGATCTGTTGCAGATGCAGATCAAGAGAGAATAGTGACTGAAAATGATGTTTGGTTTTCGTCGGAGTGTGGAAGTCGTGTGAAATCAAACAGAGATTAAGTGGCAATCTTCAGAGACTAGTATCTGTGATAGTTTGGAACTTGCAGGCCATATTAGGTATTTCGTAGGCAGTATTATTTGGGATTTATGTAGAAGCATGTGCGAATAATACTGATGCTTGTAATTCTCGACAACTCAATTTTATGTATTTTTATATTTACTATTTTGAATAAACATCCGTATTTAGTTATCGAGATGGTTGTTGGGGAACAAACGTCTGCGCTTACACTCGATATAGGCTTTATTACAAGACACAAATCATATAAAATCACAACTATATCACAAAAAAGACGTCCACTCCTTACCCAACCAATAACATCATGGAAAAATAATTTTCAGTACACAGACATTTGTACTCTATTTAATCTTCAGTTTTGTTGATTGCAGTAAACTGAAATTACCGTACTGTACATACCTATCCGTAAAATATGGGATATAAAAAGCTCTAAAAAATCGATTCGACTGTTCCGCGTTTAAAAAAAGGAAGCTTTTTAACACTTTCCAGCGGTCCTTCATTTTCGCGAAGTTTGGTTCCATTTCAGTCTCTCGGTCTAAGTCTAGATCCAGCAAAAAGTGACACCTACTCATATTGAAATACAAGCTTGTCTCTTCTTGGTTTTGGTCGTTGAAGTGCTCGTGTACGACGTACGTCGCATTACTACCGGCGGAATACGGCGCTGGTAATAAACCTTTGAATTCTGACCGGATAAACCGGACGTTCCAGTTTTTGTTGGGGAGGAAAAACGACGAGGGGTACCTGTGCCAGTCTTTGCCCATACAAACGTTTATTATTGCTCTTTCGGGGACGTTGGCCTCGTGGGGGTACCTATTGAGCTCGATTAGCAGGTCCAGGGGGGCGTGGTAGTTCCTGTAGAGCGCGAAAATCCGGGAAATATCTACAAAAAAATACAGTAATGAGTGTTTATGAAAAATCACTCAAAGTAGGCATTGGAATTTCATTTGACACGAAAACAGTCATTTGTGGCTGAAACATAACCAGGGAACATAGAGAAGCGTCATAGTTTAAATTAAATGACGGTTGATGACTTTTCGACTTATGTTGGCAACAGTGTTTGTTTCTAACTAAAAAATTGACACTAGATTTACCAGAATATTACAAGCCGCTTAATGGTGCCTTCACTTTAATTTTTCAATGTCTCAATTTTTCGATTTTTCTCTTTTTCAAGTCCTGAATTTTCCGATTTTACATTTTTTCTCCAATTTTTCGACTTTTCGATTTCTCGATTTTTTATTGTTTCGATTTTTCAATAACAGATTTTTCAATTTTCTAGTTTTTCAATGTTTCGATTTCTCGATTTTTCAGTTTTTCGATTCTTCAATTTTTCTCCGATTTTTAATTTTTCGATATTTTTGTTTTGAGATTTTTCAATTTTCGATTTCTCGACTTTTCGAATTTTCGATTTTTCATTTTTTCGACGAATCGATTTCTCGATTTATCAGTTTTTCGTCGATTTTCGATACTTTAATTTTGGAATCCTTCAATGTTTCCAATCTTCAATTTTACGACATTGAATAAACTTTTCAGTTTTTCAATTTTTTGAAGTTTCAATTTCCCAATTTTTCAATTTTTCGGTTCTTCAATTTTTCAATACTTCGATATTTCAGCTTCAATTTTTGATTTCCCGTTTTTACATTTTCGATTTTTTAATGTTTCGATTTTTGGATTTTTACTGTTTTGATTTTTTTATTTTTCCATTTTTAAATATTAGATTCTTCAATTTCCCAATTTTTCGATCTATCGAATTTTGGATTTTTCAATTTTTCTATTCTTCATTTTTTCTTAGATTTTTCATTTTTTCGATATTTCAGTTTTGGGATTTTTCAACATTTCTCCGATTTTTCAGTTTTTCGATTTTTCATTTTTTTCTTCGATTTTTTGTTGTTTCGATTTCTCGACTTTTCCATTTTTTAATTTCTCAATTTTTCGATTTTTCACTTTTTCAAGTCCTGAATTTTCCGATTTCTCATTTTTCTCCAATTTTTCGACTTTTCCATTTCTCGGTTTTTTACTGTTTCGATTCTTCAATTTTGCTCGGATTTTTCAATTTTTTGAGATTTTTCAATTTTCGATTTCTCGACTTTTCGAAGTTTCGATTTTTCACTTTTTTGATTTTTGAATTTTCAGATTCTTCAATTTTTCTTCGAATTTTTGATTTCTCGATTTATCAGTTTTTCGTCGATTTTCGATACTTTAATTTTGGAATCCTTCAATGTTTTCAATCTTCAATTTTTCGACATTGAATAAACTTTTCAGTTTTTCAATTTTTTGAAGTTTCAATTTCCCAATTTTTCAATTTTTCGCTTCTTCAATATTTCAATTCTTCGATATTTCAGTTTCAATTTTCGATTTCTCGATTTTTCGGTTTTTCACTTTCTCCATTCTTCAATTTTTCTATTCTACAATTTTTCGTCGATTTTTTGATTTCTCGTTTTTACATTTTCGATTTTTTAATGTTTCGATTTTTGGATTTTTTACTGTTTTGATTTTTTAATTTTTCCATTTTTAAATATTAGATTCTTCAATTTCCCAATTTTTCGATGTATTCAATTTTGGATTTTTCAATTTTTCTATTCTTCATTTCTTAATTTTTCGACATTTCAGTTTTGGGATTTTTCAACATTTCACCGATTTTTCACTTTTTTGATTTTTGAATTTTCCGATTCTTCAATTTTTCTTCGAATTTTTGATTCTCGACTTTTCGAAGTTTCGATTTTTCACTTTTTTGATTTTTTAATTTTCCGATTCTTCAATTTTTCTTCGAATTTTTGATTTCTCGTTGTTACATTTTCGGTTTTTCATTTTTTCATTTTTTCGACGAATCGATTTCTCGATTTATCAGTTTTTCGTCGATTTTTGATACTTTAATTTTGGAATCCTTCAATGTTTCCAATCTTCAATTTTTCGACATTGAATAAATTTTTCAGTTTTTCAATTTCCCAATTTTTCAATTCTTCGATATTTCAGTTTCAATTTTCGATTTTTCGATGTTTCGGTTTTTCACTTTCTCCATTCGTCAATTTTTCGATTCTACAATTTTTCTTCGATTTTTTGATTTCTCGTTTTTACATTTTCGATTTTTTAATGTTTCGATTTTTGGATTTTTTACTGTTTTGATTTTTTAATTTTTCCATTTTTAAATATTAGATTCTTCAATTTCCCGATTTTTCGATGTATTCAATTTTGGATTTTTCAATTTTTCTATTCTTCATTTCTTAATTTTTCGACATTTCAGTTTTGGGATTTTTCAACATTTCACCGATTTTTCACTTTTTTGATTTTTGAATTTTCCGATTCTTCAATTTTTCTTCGAATTTTTGATTCTCGACTTTTCGAAGTTTCGATTTTTCACTTTTTTGATTTTTTAATTTTCCGATTCTTCAATTTTTCTTCGAATTTTTGATTTCTCGTTGTTACATTTTCGGTTTTTCATTTTTTCATTTTTTCGACGAATCGATTTCTCGATTTATCAGTTTTTCGTCGATTTTTGATACTTTAATTTTGGAATCCTTCAATGTTTCCAATCTTCAATTTTTCGACATTGAATAAATTTTTCAGTTTTTCAATTTCCCAATTTTTCAATTCTTCGATATTTCAGTTTCAATTTTCGATTTCTGGATTTTTCGGTTTTTCACCTTCTCCATTCTTCAATTTTTCGATTCTACAATTTTTCTTCGATTTTTTGATTTCCCGTTTTTACATTTTCGATTTTTTAATGTTTCGATTTTTGGATTTTTTACAGTTTTGATTTTTTTATTTTTCCATTTTTAAATATCAGATTCTTCAATTTCCCAATTTTTCGATCTATCGAATTTTGCATTTTTCAATTTTTCTATTCTTCATTTTTTAATTTTTCGATATTTCAGTTTTGGGATTTTTCAACATTTCTCCGATTTTTCACTTTTTTGATTATTGAATTTTCCGATTCTTCAATTTTTCTTCGAATTTTTGATTTCTCGACTTTTCGAAGTTTCGATTTTTCACTTTTTTGATTTTTGAATTTTCCGATTCTTCAATTTTTCTTCGAATTTTTAATTTCTCGTTACATTTTCGGTTTTTCATTTTTTCATTTTTTCGACGAATCGATTTCTCCATTTATCAGTTTTTCATCGATTTTCGATACTTTAATTTTGGAGTCCTTCAATGTTTCCAATCTTCAATTTTTCGACATTGAATAAACTTTTCAGTTTTTCAATTTTTTGAAGTTTCAATTTCCCAATTTTTCAATTTTTCGCTTCTTCAATTTTTCAATTCTTCGATATTTCAGTTTCAATTTTCGATTTCTCGATTTTTCGGTTTTTCACTTTCTCCATTCTTCAAATTTCGATTCTACAATTTTTCTTAGATTTTTTGATTTCTCGTTTTTACATTTTCGATTTTTGGATTTTTTACTGTTTTGTTTTTTTTATTTTTCCACTTAAATATTAGATTCTTCAATTTCCCAATTTTTCGATCTATCGAATTTTGGATTTTTCAATTTTTCTATTCTTCATTTTTTCTTAGATTTTTTAACTTTTCGATTTTTCATTTTTTTCTTCGATTTTTTATTGTTTCGATATTTTAATTGTTCACTTTTTAAAATTTAGATTTTTTGATTTCTCAATATTTCTGTTTTTCAATTTTTCGTAATTTTAATTTTAGGGTTTTCAGTTTTTTGATGTTTCGATTTTTAGACTTCTCGATTTTTCAATTTTTCGGTTTTTGGACATTTTAGTTTTGGGGTTTTTCAATTTTTCCCTTTCTCAATTTATCGAGATGTCGATATTTCGATTGTTCAATTTCTTGATTTTTCGATTTTTTTAAAATTTCAAATCTTAATTTAAAAAAAAAATATTTTTCGAGTTTGGGCTGTTTCGATTTCTCAATTTTTCGGTTTTTCCACTTCTCGACTTTTCAATTTTTCAGTTTCTCGATTAATCGATTTTTTGGTTTTTCGACTCTTCGATTTCTTTAATTTTTCAGTTTTTCAATTCTTCAATGTTTGGATTTTTCAATTTTTTAATTTCTCAGTTTTTGGACATTTCAGTTTTGCGATTTTTCAATTTACTTATTCAATTTTTCGATCTTACGATTTTGCAGGCTTTTGATTTTTCAATTTTTTTAAGGTTTCGATATTTCGACTTCACTTTTTTGATTCTTCGATTTTTTAGGTTCTCAGTTTTTGGATATTTCAGTTTTTCTTTCATTTTTCAGTTTTTCGCTATTTCAGTTTTGGGATTTTTCAATATTTCTGTTCTTCGACTTTTCCATTTTAGACTTCTGGATTTTTCGATGTGTTGACTTTTTACATTTTAGATTTTTCAATTTTTTGGTACTTTAATTTTTCAATATTTAAAATTTTAGATTTTTCGATTTCTCGATTTTGCCTTTCAGTTCTTCGATATTTCCGTTTTTCATGTTTTGGAATTTTTCTAATGTTTTGATTTGTTAATCTATCGATTTTTCGACTTCCCGGTTTTAGATTTTCTGTTTTTTAATTGTCGTTTTTTCAATTTTTCAAATTTGGCATTTATAAACTGTCAATTTTTCGATTTTTCAATTAATCGATGTTTTGATTTTTCCGTTTTTTGACTTTCGAGGGTTTCGATATTCCTGTTATTCAATTCTTTAATTTTTCGATTTTTCATTTTTTTAAGGTTTCGATTTTTCGACTTCACTTTTTGGATTTTTCGATTGCTCAATTTTTCGACTTTTTAGGTTTTCAGTTTTTGGATATTTCAGTTTATCTTTCATTTTTCAGTTTTTCGATATCTCAGTTTTGGGATTTTTCAATATTTCGATTCTTCGACATTTCGATTTTTGACTCCTGGATTTTTTGATGTGTCAATTATCTTACTTTATAGGTTTTTCAATTTTCTGATTTTAAATTTTAGATGTTTTAATTTTTCAAATTTGACTTTTATAAACTCTCAATTTTTCGATTTTTCAATTAATCGATGTTTTGATTTTCCCATTTCTTGACCTTCGAGTGTTTCGATTTTCCTGTTCTTCAATTCTTTAACTTTTTGATTTTTCGGGTTTTTGATTTTTCAGTTTTTCGATTTTTTAAGGTTTCTATTTTTCGACTTCACTTTTTTGATTTTTCGATTTTTCAGTTTTTAGATACCTATTTCAGTTTTAGGATTTTTCAATATTTCAGTTCTTCGGCTCTTCTATTTTTGACTTCTGGATTTTTCGATGTGTCCACCTTTTTACTTTTTCGATTTTTCAATTTTCGGATTTTTAAATTTTAGATTATTCAATCTTTTGATATTTTAATTTTTCAATATTTCTTAATCTTTCGATTTTTCGACTTGCTGGTTTTAGATGTTCTTTTTCTTTGTCGATTTCTCTATTTTTCGATTTTTCGAATTCATCACTTTTCGATTTCTCGTTCTTTTGATCTTTCAATCTCTCAATTTTTCGAATTTTTAAGTTTTTTGATTTCTTGATTTATCGAGATTTGGATTTTTCGATATTTTGATTGTCAATTTCTCAATTTATAAATTGCTCAATTTTTAACTTTTCGATTTTAGCCTATTTCGGTTTCTCAATTGTTCGACTTCTCGACTCCACGATTTCTTGATCTTTTGATTTTTCGATTTCTCCGTTTTTCGATTTTCCAGTTTTTCGATGTTTCGATTTTTCAGTTATCCGATTTTTTAAATTTGGGAGTTTCGATTTTTCGTTACTCGGTTTTTAAATTTTAGATTTTTGAATTTTACATTTTTTAGATTTTCTGATGTTTCATTTTTCGATTTTCAGTTCTTCGATATTTCGATTTTTCAATGTTTCGGTTTTACGATTTTTTAAGGTTTTAATTTTTTATTTTTTTTTTTTTTTTCTCACTGTTAATATCATACAGTGTATCGAAAACAACCACAAAAATTGCCACTAATAACATTTAAAAATTCATACAAAATAGAACAGTGTTTCCAAAACATTTTCCAGAAAAAAATCCATTGGGTTATTACGATTTCAACAATATTCTTAGTTTAAGACGTTTTGCTAGTACAAAACACAAATAAAGAATTAATCCTTAGTTAAACAAAATATGTAAAATCATCTAAATATGTATTGAGGACTCCAATGTCAACAAGGGTGGTTTTGCAAAATCAGCCTGTATGTCGCATCTATATTAATCTATGACATAACCTCACATTTTTTTAAAATGTAAGGTTATGTTTCAGTAATTTTTCACTGAACAACAGTCGTTAAACTTACTTAAAGCTCCAGTTACTGCAATCGTCGAAATCATGATGAACATGGTAACATCTAAATAGTGAGTCCCATGGGGGACACTTTTCACCATATTCCACACCCGGAAGAACAGCTTCTGGACTATATCCACAGTAATCGCCCCACACAAACAAACCATCGGGTAAATCGGGAACAAAAACCTCTCTTCCTTATGGGGCTGCACCATGAACACAACCAACCACAAAAACAAAGGGCTCACAGACAACCAATAAGGAAGATAAAGCGTGCTTCTGTTCTTCAACGGTAAGAAAAAGTGCCCCAAAACGACAGCCACTGGAGTCAACAGCGCCAAAACCTACTTCCAAAATTATTAACAACCCTCACACTACAAATACTCACCCAAACAAAATTAAAATTCACGAATCCATTAATCAAATAAAACGAAAACGGCTCAGTTCCGTACAAATTAGGTCCGGCCCCCCCGAACACGTTGTACCAAAGAATATTAAAGGGGGCGATCGTCACACGGCCGTATTGGAATGAATCGATAATAACCATGGGCAAAATTATGACGCACCCGCATAAAACCGCCCATGCGATAAATTCAACGTATAGTTTCCTACGTATGGCCATATCGTACGCAATCGGGAGCCCCAATAGGGCTGCAAATGGCCAACCTAAAAGAAACTTGTCAAGATTCGAAAACACCACTTCCAAAACGTACCCAAAACGGATCCCAAAGCTGTGAAAAAAATCGCCAGGGGGTACCGTTGTTGCCACCACGCAGCACAAGCCGCTGCAAACGTATACATGGCGAAACTGCTCGGTAAGAAGGCAGTACTCGACACGAACATCCCCGCTGCAAAAATCTGGAACGACAAACACATTCTCCCGATATGGACCCCAAATTCGCGGCACACAGCCCTAGAATTACTTCACATTAGTTAAAATTTTACACCACCGGTTACTCACTTGTAGAAATACACCTCCGATAAGGCGCACATCAACCCCAACAAACACCTAATAAAATAAAACATCAGCAACGGATTCGGTTGCAGCAGCTTGTGGTAGATGTACGCGGGGGCTGCATGGCACATCAAGTAAGTGTACGACCGCAACGCATACTGGGGGCTGTACTCCCACGTCTGCAGCCCCTTCCCAAACACCAAATAGTGCATAGGCTCCCAGTAATTGTAAGTTTCGTCGCAATCCGAGACGTGCGACCAAATCGCCGCGCAAAACCTCGCCGACAGCAACGCTTTGAAGGCTGTGTCGCCCCCGGGGTACACCAATCCGCCGCTGTTTTCATTTTTACTACAAAGAAAACATGAAAAATACGGTAAACATAACCCCACTTTTACCTCGGAGGCGGTTTCGCGGCTTTGGGCTGGGTGGGCTTGTGTGCGGGCTTGCGGGGCTGCTGGGAGGCATTCTGGCGAAGCCGAAACGACGGCTGGCTCCGTACCATCAGTGCGGAAATTGGAAATTGGAGGGTCAGCGCTATCGTGCCATTTGACAGTAATTTTGACAGTTTGGTTATGCAAGCAGCCACACGAACACGAAACGCACTCCTGCCAATCGTAAAACAACAATAACTAGGTGCATGGACGCGACATACAGGCTGATTTTACAAAACCATCCTTATTGACATTGGAGTCCTCAAGCGCCAAATTTAAATAGTCGATGCCAATAAAAAAAACTTGATTCACTACAACTCGTCACCTGAGAACTTGTTTGATTTACGGACCAGAGCGCGCTCAGGCCAATGTCGACTCTAAGCGTGCAGAAGCGATTTGGTTGGTTTAAACTATAATTTCTGCGGGAAATAGTGTTTGGTCGGTTTTTGTAACGACTAAGTGATTATTTTTGGTACATATTTAGATGATTTTACATATTTTGTTTAACTAAGAATTAATTCTTTATTTGTATTTTATACTAGCAAAACGTCTTAAACTAAGAATATTGTTGAAATCGTTTTTTTTATGTTTTTAGTGACAATTTTTGTGGTTGTTTTCGATACACTGTATGATATTAACAGTGAGAAAAAAAATTAACAATTAAAATAATCGAAAATTCGAAAAATCGTAAAACCGAAACAATGAAAAATCGAAACATCGAAAAACTGGAAAATCGAAAAACTGAGAAATCGAAAAATCAAAAGATCAAGAAATCGTGGAGTCGAAAAGTCGAACAATTGAGAAACCGAAATAGGTCAAAATCGAAAAATCTAAAAGTTATAAATTGAACAATTTATAAATTGAGAAACTGATCAAAATATCGAAAAATCCAAATTTCGATAAATCGAGAAATCAAAAAACTTAAAAAATCGAAAAATTGAAAACTTGAGAGATTGAAAGATCCAAAGAACGAGAAATCGTAAAGTGATGAAGTAGAAAAATCGAAAAATAGAGAAATCGACAAACAAAAAGCTGAAAGTTGAAAAATTGGAAAAGCGGAAAAATCAAAAAACGAAAAAATGGAAAACTGGAAAAACTGAGAAACCGAAATAGGCCAAAATAAAAAAATTAAAAACTGATAAAGCGAAAACCTGAACAATCAAATCTCGATAAATCGGGAATGAAAAATTAACAAATCGAAAAATTGGAAAACAGAACATCTAAAACCAGGAAGTCGAAAAATAGAAAGATTAAGAAATACTGAAAAATTAAAATATCGAAAGATTGAAAAATCTAAAATTGAAAAATCCAAAAATTATGAAAATCGAAAAAGCAAAAATGTAGACACATCGAAAAACCCAGAAGTCAAAAATTGAAGAGCCGAAGAATTGAAATATTGAAAAATCCTAAAACTGAAATATCTAAAAACTGAAAAATCCAAAATTCAAAAACGTGAAGTCGAAAATAGAAACCTTAAAAAAATTAAAAATCGAAAAATTAAAGTATTGAAGAACAGGAAAATCGAAACACTCGAAGGTCAAGAAATGGGAAAATCAAAATATCCATTAATTGAAAAATCGAAAAATTGACAGTTTATAAATGCCAAATTTGAAAAATTGAAAAATCAAAAAATTAAAAAATTGAAGAACAGGAAAATCAAAACATCGATCAATTGAAAGATCGAAAAATTGACAGTTTATAAAAGTCAAATTTGAAAAATTAAAATAAAGAAAATTTGACAAAATGACAATTGAAAAACAGAAAATCTAAAACCGGGAAGTCGAAAAATCAAAAGATTAAGCAATCGAAAAATTGAAAAACCGAAAAAGTAAAAAAATCGACACATCGAAAACTCCAGAAGCCAAAAATCGAAAAGTCGAGAATCAAAATATTGAAAAATCCCAAAACTGAAATATCGAAAAACTGAAAAATGAAAGAAAAACTGAAAAATGGAAAACCTGAAAAATCCGAAAACTGAGAACCAAAAAAGTCGAAAAATTGAGCAATGGAAAAATCCAAAAAATGAAGTATAAAAATAGAAACCTTAAAAAATCGAAAAATTGAAAAATCAAAAACCCGAAAAATCAAAAAATTAAAGAATTGAAGAACAGGAAAATCGAAACACTCGAAGGTCAAGAAATGGGAAAATCAAAACATCCATTAATTGAAAAATCGAAAAATTGACAGTTTATAAATGTCAAATTTGAAAAATTGAAAAATCAAAAACCAGAAAAATCAAAAAATTAAAGAATTGAAGAACAGGAAAATCAAAACATCGATCAATTGAAAGATCGAAAAATTGACAGTTTATAAAAGTCAAATTTGAAAAATTAAAATAAAGAAAATTTGACAAAATGACAATTGAAAAACAGAAAATCTAAAACCGGGAAGTCGAAAAATCAAAAGATTAAGCAATCGAAAAATTGAAAAACCGAAAAAGTAAAAAAATCGACACATCGAAAACTCCAGAAGCCAAAAATCGAAAAGTCGAGAATCAAAATATTGAAAAATCCCAAAACTGAAATATCGAAAAACTGAAAAATGAAAGAAAAACTGAAAAATGGAAAACCTGAAAAATCCGAAAACTGAGAACCAAAAAAGTCGAAAAATTGAGCAATGGAAAAATCCAAAAAATGAAGTCTAAAAATAGAAACCTTAAAAAACGAAAAATTGAAAAATCGAAAACCCGAAAAATCAAAAAATTAAAGAATTGAAGAACAGGAAAATCGAAACACTCGAAGGTCAAGAAATGGGAAAATCAAAACATCGATCAATTGAAAGATCGAAAAATTGAGAGTTTATAAAAGTCAAATTTGAAAAATTAAAAAATCGAAAATTTGACAAAATGACAATTGAAAAACAGAAAATCTAAAACCGGGAAGTTGAAAAATCAAAAGACTAAGAAATCGAAACATTCGAAAAATTCGAAAACTTGAAAAATTGAAATATCGAAGAACTGAAATGAAAAATCGAGAAATCGAAAAATCTAAAATTTTAAAAATTAAAAAATCTAAAATTTAAAATTCGAAAAATTGAAAAATCGAAGAAGTAAAAAAATCGACACATCGAAAAATCCAGGAGTCAAAAATCGGAAAGTCCAAGAATCGAAATTTTGAAAAATCCCAAAACTGAAAAATGAAAGAAAAACTAAAAATGGGAAAGTAAATCGGGAAATTAAAACATTGAAAAATCGAAAAATTTGAAACGACAATTGAAAACAGAAAATCTAAAACCGGGAAGTCGAAAAATCGAAAGATTAAGCAATCGAAAAATTGAAAAACCGAAAAAGTAAAAAAATCGACACATCGAAAACTCCAGAAGCCAAAAATCGAAAAGTCGAGAATCAAATTATTGAAAAATCCCAAAACTGAAATATCGAAAAACTGAAAAATGGAAAACCTGAAAAATCCGAAAACTGAAATATCTAAAAACCGAGAACCTAAAAAGTCGAAAAATTGAGCAATGGAAAAGCTGAGAAACCGAAATAGGCCAAAATAAAAATTTGAAAAAATGATAAATCGAAAACCTGAACAATCAAATCCCGATAAATCGGGAATGAAAAATTAACAAATCGAAAAATTGAAAAACAGAACATCCAAAACCAGGAAGTCCAAAAATCGAAAGATTAAGAAATATTGAAAAATTAAAATATCGAAAGATTGAAAAATCTAAAATTGAAAAATCCAAAAATTGTGAAAATCGAAAAAGTAAAAAGGTAGACACATCGAAAAATCCAGAAGTCAAAGAACTGAAATATTGAAAAATCCTAAAACTGAAATATCTAAAAAGTGAAAAATCGAAAAATCAAAAAAGTGAAGTCGAAAATAGAAACCTTAAAAAATCGAAAAACTGGAAAATCGAAAAGCTGAGAAATCGAAAAATCAAAAGATCAAGAAATCGTGGAGTCGAAAAGTCGAACAATTGAGAAACCGAAATAGTTCAAAATCGAAAAATCTAAAAGTTATAAATTGAACAATTTATAAATTGAGAAATTGATAATCAAAATATCGAAAAATCCAAATTTCGATAAATCGAGAAATCAAAAAATTTAAAAATTCGAAAAATTGAAAACTTGAGAGATTGAAAGATCCAAAGAACGAGAAATCGAAAAGTGATGAAGTCGAAAAATCGAAAAATAGAGAAATCGACAAACAAAAAGCTAAAAGTTGAAAAATTGGAAAAGCGGAAAAATCAAAAAACGAAAAAATGGAAAACTGGAAAAACTGAGAAACCGAAACAGGCCAAAATAAAAAATTTAAAAACTGATAAATCGAAAACCTGAACAATCAAATCTCGATAAATCGGGAATGAAAAATTAACAAATCGAAAAATTGAAAAACAGAACATCTAAAACCAGGAAGTCGAAAAATATAAAGATTAAGAAATATTGAAAAATTAAAATATCGAAAGACTGAAAAATCTAAAATTGAAAAATGCAAAAATTATGAAAATCGAAAAAGTAAAAATGTAGACAAATCGAAAAACCCAGAAGTCAAAAAATCGAAAAATCAAAAACCTGAAAAATCGAAAAATTAAAGAATTGAAGAACAGGAAAATCGAAACACTCAAAGGTCAAGAAATGGGAAAACCAAAACATCGATCAATTGAAAAATCGAAAAATTGAGAGTTTATAAAAGTCAAATTCGAAAAATTAAAAAATCGAAAATTTGACAAAATGACAATTGAAAAACAGAAAATCTAAAACCGGGAAGTTGAAAAATCAAAAGACTAAGAAATCGAAACATTTGAAAAATTCGAAAACTTGAAAAATTGAAATATCGAAGAACTGAAATGAAAAATCGAGAAATCGAAAACTCTAAAATTTTAAAAATTAAAAAATCTAAAATATAAAAACCGAAAAATTGAAAAATCGAAAAAGTTAAAACGACAATTGAAAACAGAAAATCTAAAATCGGGAAGTCGAAAAATCGAAAGATTAAGCAATCGAAAAATTGAAAAATCGAAAAGTCGAAGAATCAAAATATTGAAAAATCCCAAAAATCAAATATCGGAAAACTGAAAAATGGAAAACCTGAAAAATCCGGAAACCGAAATATCCAAAAACTGAGAACCTAAAAAGTCGAAAAATTGAGCAATGGAAAAATCCAAAAAGTGAAGTCGAAAAATTGAAACCTTAAAAAAATTAAAAAGTAAA